AAGTCCTATAGTCAGCAGAATCTGCATTTCCATGGGAAACACGTTGGTGGTCTGTAAAGCTGAGAAAATTGAAAATCACTGCTTTAAAAGAGAGCCAATGATAATCTTTTTGAAGTCCTATATTCAAAATCTGTGTTGTGTTCCCAGCTCCCATAAATGCCATTTCATCTACTTTAAAGAATAAAACTACATTTAAAAAAAAATCAAAAAAGTCTTTATTCTCCCTTCCCTATCCATATTCTATTGTGTCATGAAGCCTGGAACCTAATTTATTTTATGTAAACAAACAAAAGAAATCCCACCCAGAAACCAAGCCATTTGCAAGATTTGTTTAGGTTTGGTTTTAATGTTTTTTCCAGCGTTTCTTGTCTTACTCTGTCTGGCTACTAGCACTTTTCATATTAAAAAAAAAAAAGAAAAGAAAAGAAAGAAAAGAAAGCCTTCACTTGAAAAAATACAAATGACAAAAAACACCTGAAACTGTACAGGACAAAGAAGGCTGGACAGCAAGAAATGCTTCTACCTGACAGGATGATGGAATTGGTGGTTAGTGTTTGCCATGTTTATCTTTTATTGCTGAACCTAATTCAAAAGGAGTGGGTACAGAGCAGCCTAAAAACTGAACAGCAAATAAATCTATGGAGATTATGTCTTCATCTATATGCTAAGCAAAGGCATCAACCAGGGGAACGTAAAGGGGCCGTAAAGCAGCTTACTATTCTCCCCCCCACACCTAATTAAGAAAGCAGGGCATTGTGGGAGATAGGAAGACCATCAACTATGCCTCCTTAGCACTGGCCAGGAGCTGGCACACAAAGGTTACTACCTTACTGCCAGTGCAGGACTATGCCAATCCAGAGGAACTCAAAAAGCTCAGAACCTGGTTGTCTTGGAGCGTGGTGCTGGCCTGATATATTTTTCAGATGGTGCAGTTTTCACTTCTCTCAGGCTCAGAGTTTAGCCCAAAGTAACTCAGTTTTGAAAGGAAGTTTTGAAGAAGGCTAGAGAAATTTGTATTGTTTTAACATCCATGTTAGAGGAGCAGGAGGGAAATGAAAATTACAGCTTGTGCTCCCTTAGATGCCCTTTTTAAATATAGGCCAGTGAATCAGATAGTCTGCTGATGAAACAGCCTTGGCAAGTTGCCTGAAAAGCTGTAGGAAAAAGTCATCTGTTGAAGGTAATATTTGCAGAATCTGAACTTTTGTTTTATTACTGCACAATAAAATCAGCAATCAGTAAAGAATTGGGGGTGTGGATGACTGGACATGCTGCCCAAAGACCTCTGAAGTCAAAGAGAGTTGAAGAGGAGGTCTTGAACAGTTGATCTAAAATGATCTGTAAGACTTAATTCTTGGTCTAAGAAAGCTCATACGTACAGGCCTGTGCATTGTAGCGTGAGCTTGCTTGAGTTCACTGGCTGTAATTTCTTCCAGCTGTGGAGGGCAATGAATGCCTAAGTCCGAACATCTTTCCTAGAAAGAAAGAAGTGCCTAGGTTCATCTAGTTAACTCTTTAGAAAAACTCTTGTGATGTGACAATGTCACGTGCTTAACTCTTTACGTTCCCTTTAGGTAATTAGGGAATACTTAGGCTGTAGAGTTCATTTCTATTTGCACCAACCTCACAACAAAACCAGATGATACCAGACAGATCTGGATCTGTAGTCCAGCTTGTATTAAAGTCAAAAGGAATTGCTCAGCACAGTTTGCAGACATTGCTGAGTAGAGAAGATGGAAGATTATCTGGGTGTGTGAGCTGGTTATAGCATAGTCATTTCCCCTCCAGTATGTTCCCCTCTCTCTCCGCATCCCCGCAGTTTATTACAAAAAAGAATTACTATCACATGTGCTAAAGCATGGTTCAGTCCATTGGAGGCAATGAAGATACATGCTGGGATTTTGATCCTAACTGGAACAGTGGGACAGTGCAGAGCTTACAACGCTCACCCAGGGCAAGCCAGCAATGGGAAAAATGCACTATGCATCTCCACATGGGAGGTAGTAACTGATATACTTCCACTGTACACGGGGGCATTTTGAGGGACACGTCACAGCCTAGAGTTTGGTTGAGGCAAAGCAGCACTGCATACCCATAACACAGGAAGGAGCCTAAGCACATAATTAATTCAAGTTGTAAAGAACAAAAAGCTCTGCCCTTGCTGAAGGTGGTGGCAAAAGTCACGCAAATTAGTAATAAATCAGAAGAAATCCTTATAAACCCCACCCTTCTCCAGTGGCTGACTAGCATGAGACAGTCTTTAACATAGCTTTGCAGGCCTTGCAAATGTTTCTGACTTGGACTGGATCTGTGAAAAAGGGATCTTGCAATAGTGTCAACCTTTACAGTGCCCTAAAAAGTACTTTGCATGGTTAAATAATCTTATTAGACAGAATCATTGATAATAACAAGGATATCAATTCAAAGCCCTATATAATGAGACTAAAATAGCTTACCTACTCTGCTTTGTATCTAGCTGTAAAAATAGTTCTTATGTTTGTTCCATCTACGCTTAATCTTTTACAGAACTTCTAATGTAGATATCTAGGCTTTATCTACAGTTTAAGGAGGGTGAGACCAGCACTCCAAAGAGCTATTCTTTCCATTTACCTTAGACACCTGCCCCAGGGTGGAATAAACACCCTCTGGGGTACCTGATTCTCATGCCCAATTAGGGAAGTACTTTGGATGATCAGTTTACACCAGACATCCTGTCTTTATAGCAGGTGAGATTAAATCCACTATGAACATCTTCCCAACTATTATTAGCAGAATTTTCAGAATGATCACTTTTTCTCCTCCCCCCCCCTGACCCCCCCCCACACACACACACATGCTTAGGACAATTTATACAGCAAAGAGAAAATCTAGAACCAGAATCTGCAAAAGAAGTGAGCAGGCCCATACTCCTGGGAATCAAATCCTATCAACCAACATGAGCAATAGAAATAGTAATATTATGGGATACTCTTACAATGTTCCAAATTCTCCCACTCCGAAATCAGCTAATTCAGTTAGAAAATGTGAATGTCATTGATAACCAGATGAGCATCACGTGATTTCTGGAGGTCCCTGCTATCAGCTACTGCATGTAATGAGATAAGCTGAGATCAGCTCCTTCTTGAGAGCACTGCAACAGTTTGGCCAAACAGGTTATAGAGTCTCCTTCCTTGAAGATATTCAAAAGCCATCTGGACACAGTCCTGGGCAACGTGCTCTAGGCAACCCTGCTTGAGCAGGGAGGGTTGGACTAGATGATCTCCAGAGATCCCTTCCAACCTCAGCCATTCTGTGATTCTGTGATTTATAAGTCCAGTTAGTATAGGAAGGAAGGAAGATAGATAGTTGAGTAGAAGGGAAAAACATATAAAAAACTTCTACAAACCAGGATTTTTATTTTACTGTAGCCTTTCTTTGACTACTCAGAGCAAAGATTTAGGATAGTCACCGTAGAGGGATGTGTAAAAGTAACCGAGATGGGGCTCAAGTAAGGCGGAAAGTAAAGGCAGAGAGAGAGAGAAAAGCATGGAGGGATCTAGATTTTATATGATGTCAGAAATGAAGCATTATGCTCTAATTCCATTCACTTCTGGTCCTGGCAACCACCTCAGCCCACAGAGAAAGGTTGCTGCAGCTGAATGGGACGGTGCTGGTATGCCCATGAGGGATGCTTTTTATGTCCCACCCCTCCACTCCCTTATGCTACAGGTGCAATTAAAAATTTGTCATCAGTGGCTTAATATTCTCTGAAGACAACAATATCTTAGAAACCTTTTCAGCAACAGAAAGGTTAAGAAAACTTACTTGTATCACTTATTAATACAAGGAGCAATTCACTTGATTCCCTGAAGGCCAGGTTTAAATTGAGTTTATTTAAGTTAAACCATACTGTTTACTTGTTTGCTTGTTTCATCGTAGTAAGAAAATGCCCTCAGCTCTCTGGAATATCTCCCTGTGGCTGATGAAGGAGAAAGGAGGCTTCAAAGGCTACCTCTCCTTAATCATCCTTGGTAAGTCAGCTGGCTGACACAAAGCACCTGGCCTTGGGAATGCACCCAGCCTGTGGCCTCATAAAAATAATGCAGACTCTCCTTCTCCTCTGCCTTCTGCTAGTCAGCTTAGGCAGGTAGGTCAGTCTTGTGTTTCCATGTGCCCTTCCAGCTGAGGCCATGTCCTCATGTCTTCACAGAGTGGCACCATGGCCTTTCCACTGTTGTGTGAACCACATGCTAGATACACGTTCAGCCTGGCATGTGGTGCCACAGATACAGAAAGAAGCAGTGGTGTTGCAAGGCAGCTCTCTTGTAGCAACTAGCAGGACCTTCTGGAAATCATGCTCCTCAAGAGCAGATTGCCACACATTGCCATTCTTTTTTGAGCATCAGGAAAATGCAGACATGAGAGGTATGTATCTATACCTGTGTTTTGGTCTTGCTAGCAGCATGGTTATAGCAAGACAAAATACAGCTAAGCCTATAGAAAAACTGGGTGGTAAAATCATGCTGACCAGCATGCTGTCATGGTGACGGTGTTGCTAGCTGGTTAGAGGTCTACCAGCTGCAGCTACTTCAAAGCAAGCACAAACTCGGTTGCAGCTTGGTCCCTAGATATGCCTTGTATTAGTGTCTCCTCTGTGCTACAGTTCACTTTGCATGAGGGAACTCCAACAGCAAATCAGCTCTACTCAACTGTTTGGGTCCCTTAAGACAGATCTGTGTGTGGTGTACACAGGTATCCAGTAAACCCTGAAATAAGCCATGGCTCATAATGACTGGCCTTTTAAAAATCTGGAGACATCCTGAAGTTGAGGAATGTTATCTTCTTGGTAGCCACAGTGTTTCTCCAGCTGCTGGAAAGCATCCAGGTACTGCTTACAGGCGTGAGTAGGATAGAGGCTGCTCAGCTTCCTGTAGACTTCTTTCCTGAAAAGCAAAAGCCATTCTGGGTGACCCACCTCATTAAAAGCAGTACTTCTCTACCACAGTTACAGATTCGCAGAGGGGTGTAAACCCCCAGCACAGGCAACTGCCCTAAAAATCGAACTGAGACACATGGTGCTTGAACGTTGGTGCCTGGATGTAGAGCAAGGTGTGGAGGCTTTTTGTTTTCTCTTCCCTTCAGAAGGTGGGTTCTGTTCATCAGAACTGCTCTATCCCTCACACACCTCATGAAATGTAAAGGAGCTCTAATCCCAATTTAGAAATAAATTGCTTCAGAATAAAGGTGTCAGAGGTTCGAGGGGAGTCACAGAGAAAAAGGTGAGGCTGTGGCCCTCTGTGTTACGCTGTTTACTAATGGAATGAGCCAGATATTCTCTAGTCCCTATTAAAAAGGTACAACTTGAAATGCTGCCTCTCCATGCTGACTCCTAAGCCATATTTGACTCCTGCTCTCCTCCTAAAACAACACTTTTTCTGGTACTGAAGTTTAACATCTGCACAGGCAAAGAGATTCTTACTCTTGCGGTTCAAAATGCCTGGCATGGACTATGTATATGAAAGACATGCCAATTTCTTGAAGCATTTAGCCCTTTACAAAGAAAGAGATCAGCTAAAGAAAAATATATATAACCAGATTTGGGCACAGGCTTCAAGCTTCTCTTAGATTTGATGGTGCTTGGATCCAGAACTGTGGTTTGGAATATATTTAGCTGTTTCAAGATAAACAAGTAGTAATAGGATGGCAAAGAACCTTATAGAAATGGTTATTTTTGCTCAGACATGGCCCTAGGGTGTTAGCAAATTTATAAACATTGTTTCATGAAAATTGAGATCATTCTTGGAAATGCTGGCTAAAGAAAATGACCTTTTGTTGTTTTGTATTGTATTTTTTTTGTGATGCTATTGTTGCTATGGAAGTGATAGCCAGTCCCTGGTAATGGCTCTCCTGATTTGTACAAATCTCTTACACAGTGTGGGAGTCATGAACCAGAATGAAGGGTGGGGGGAGGAGCGGAAGTAGGGAAAAAAATAAAAGAATAGAGGGAAACAGTGGCTGCTGTCACTATTGCAAAAGCTGCAGGAGACTGGGCCATTTTCATTGAAGAATCAGGAAAAACTAGGGAGCATTAGAGTACAAATGTTGCCCTGGTCTACTCCCCATTGAATAATATTGACCTCAGTGGGACTGCATAGGATCTAAACCAGTACACAGTTCAGCCCCAGTTCAAAGTCTAGAGAAGATAGGCTTATTTACATCTACTTGAAGAATTTGTACATATATTCTCTTTTATCCAACTTAAAACACTCTACTGTGTGTCCAAACATTGACTACCACCAAAATGTAGGGAGTCTCAGAGACTAGCATTGAGCTTGCTTTAGAGCCCTTGTTGAATTCCTGACAAAAATATATATGCCCTGTCTCAGTCCTGTATAGCCCTGCTCATGGGAGTGTTCATCTCACCTAATTAGAGTTATCCAAAGTTAAGCATCCCTCATTTATAAGCACCTCTAAGACAGTCTTCTAAGCTCACTATATAGTCAAAGGAGAGAAGCAGGTATTTCCAGAGGGCAGTTTAACTTGTCCTAGCGTAGTATCTTAAATAGGTGGGATGAGTCACTGAGTGGAGGTGGAAGTCTGATTATAAAAGAGTCCTAGAGTACACAGCCATCTTTTAGATGACTGAAGTAGAATGAAATGAAATCTATTCTTGATCTTTCTTTTTTTTTTTGTTAGAAATAGAAAAGTACAGGAATGTATTCTCAGTTGGCATGTGTATGGAGAGAGAGAGAAAAAAAATAATAAAGTAGTGACCTTGGCTGAGGATTTGGTGCAGTGTGTGCTTTATTGTCACACTGCTTTCAGCTTCAGCTGACTCTGCAATTAGAGGACCAGTAAGCTGCCACTTAATGGTCACTTAGTCCTGGGACAGAAAGAGAAAGTCCTGGAAGTGCAGGCTATGAAAAACTCCAGAAAGAAGCCTCACAATGAACAACAGAGCCAGCCACTTAAAAGACTTTAAAGATAATGCCTTTATTTTACGTCAATTTCCTTATTCTATTTAAGAAAAAAGTGTCATTGTTCAGCTTCATTACAAAGATGTGACAGGTGCATTCCCATAATTTTGTCCTAGATTTTTCCCTTTTTCTTGTCAGATCTTTTACCTATAAGACATCTTTTATGACAGCTTAGTTTCATGGCCTTCCAAGAAATCTGCCTCAAAACAGAAACTCTGCTCATCTGTACCCTCTGTTTTCTGAAACTCATATTTCTGCACTTGATTAGTTTTCATTTTTATAACCGTATTGCTACAAACTGAAGGCATGCAACAACTCTTCGGAGTGAACACCAAGGGATTTTAGTCTGGGCTACAAGTTTCCTGTTCAATTTGACTGTGCTCAATTAAGTTGTGCTGTAATGCAGTTGACCTCAGGGCACAGCCCTGTGGAGCTGTGATAACCGTTGGGAGGTCTAATTTTGGAAACAGCTTTACATAGCAAGAAAATCTAGGTTCCTGAGGCTGGCTCTTTGGGGAAATGGGCAGATATTCCTTTAAAAGGAGTTACCACACAGGGACTAATTCTAGGTGGAAAAAGGCTGGAATGACGGAGATTGGCAACAAAATGGAAAAACAGGAAAGAACACAAAATTAAATTTTCTTAAATATGACATTCCCACACCCCATCCCATGCCAAGATTGTTGGCTGGTGGTAGCAATCATGCGCATGACACTGACCATCAATCTTTGACAACTGAAAGATGCTGTAAAAACCTACTATGTGTGCTTAATAAAAAATGTGACCGCTTGGGTGAGTTGGACACAAGGTTTCTCTGTGACTGTGGACAACAACCCTCATGATTCCTATGGCACAGTAGACTTTATTTAAAAGAAAATAACCTCTGAAAAAGATGGGATGGCTCTGTCACTGAGGTTCTGGCATAAGCGTTCTGATATATGGATTTAATTCCTGGCTCTGAAACAAACTTCCTGTGTAATTTTGGGCAAGTCACTTAAGCTTTCACTTTTTCAGTTCCACAGCTATAAAATGTGGCCATCGTTCTTCCTTTCTCACACCTTTAGGCTGTCTTTCCATTTAGATGATAAGCTATGAACACAGACTCTCTCTTATTATGTGCATACGTGGCACCTTGTATGACCCTGGGATCTTAGCTGGGACATTTGGACATAGTTATGTTTATATTATCACACAAATATGTAATTATTGCTACTTACTGAGATGTGCAAAAGATAGCTAAAGAAAATGGAAACAGAGGTTTATGAAATAAGAATTCTGATTTCTTTCAAATCTAAGACATATTTCATGTAAAGTTTGCAAACATACTTTGAATTGAATGATTTTTTTGGAACTGTTTTTGAGTGGCAAAGCTTCAAGAGAAACAAATTCCTAATGAAGAAATGCTGAACACATGTGCAAGTAACATGCCCATCATTTCATACAACTCAAAAAAGCTTTTCACGGTGAAGTAATGCAGCCTGGAAGGACGCTCCAAAATCTCTTCTACCCTCAGTTTAAGAGAAAGATGCCTATTCAAGTTAACAGGAATGAATGCTTGCAGGAGAAGAGCAGGTAAGGCCAGTCCATCCTATGAACATTGGATTAGCTGCATCCTATGAGGGAATTGCTCACCCATGGAATGGCCCAGGAGCCAGTGTACAAATAACGAACTCACCAAGTTGCAATCTCTTGTGCTGTGTACTCGATGCGAGGCAAAGATTCTCCCCTATAGAGAAGAGAGGAAACAATGTGTGTTTCTAAAGCGGGTGTCAAGTTCAGTTTCCAGGTATTATTTTCTTTGCCTATGCCGTTCATATTTGCTGTAATGAAGACAGAGACAACTAACAGAGTGCATACTAAACTGCTTCTTTATCTTGTTAGATTTTAATGTTTATATGTTCTCCTCTGTTCCGCTGTGGTGAGGAGGTGGAGGGATATGGTAAGAAAGAGAGCCATGTTCTACCTGATAGAAGAAAAAGGAGGCCTTAAGCCTTACCCTTACCTCTCCGGATGGCAATCTAGCAACAAAAACACCATGTATGCCTCAAAGGTCCATCCCTGAAACGTGTGATTGGCACAGTATCATCCCAGAGAAGGACTCAGAAACTCACCAGCAAAGAGCTGTCCAGGCATACACTGTTTGTTTGTCACTAACTTCTCTGCATGGGTGACCTTTTCTCCTCTTCCTCATTGCTGCTCCTTCTATAGCTCGGTCTGTTCAGCGTGTGCTTTTGTACTGTTTTGCCATGTGACATGGTCTTGCATCTGCCACCCTCACAGCCTTGCTGCAGAACTTGGACTAGCTTCGATATATGGTGACAATGAGAAATTTGCAGTCAAATAGATGTCTTTCACGGTCTTCCGAT